AGAGCGCAGCATCAAATGCTATTAAAAAGGTATTGTCTATTTAATATTTGATAAAGATATTTAATTAAACTTTTATTGTACTTGTAATATTTTTCAGCTCAAATTTTAAACATTCCACTGGAGGACTGCTAGTAAACCAAACTAATAACAAAATTATTGCTAATAAATTGCAAAAAGAAAATAATCCCACTAAAGATGATCATAAAGTCTCTACCATGCTTAAAGCAGTAAAAGTAAGTTTTGTCAATGACTTAAGTAAAGAAAATACTGGACTTGATTCCAAACTGTCGGTTCAAGTTGATATAAAAAGTAATAAAAAGATTGTTAAACTGCCTAAGAGTCCAGAAAAAGAAAGAATCGTTAATTTGGTTGGAAAAACGGATAATAATGAAAGGATAGAAGCCGTTGCATCTGAAGAAAAATCTACTGGTGTTGAAGAAATTCCGAAAACTTGCTCAAGTGATCATGAAAAAAAAGACAATGGTGTGAATGATTATCGGTCTCCACTTGAAGCATTTGGAACAACCACGTAAGTAATAAGTTTTTTTTTTAACTTTTACTTTACGTAATTTCCGTAGCAAAGGTTATAAGAACTATAAAAGCATACTTTGAATAATTTCTGGTAAGATATATATGTATGTATATACAGAAAGAAAGTAGAAAGTAGTTCGGAGTATTTAAATAATTTAAAATTAGAATTGTTTACAGGGACATGCTGGATTTCATACTCTCTGGGAAATACTAATTAATTATTATAGTTCCGAATTCATGTATAAATGTTTGTGTTGCTAACTGTTTAAAAGAGATGTTTTCGGTGATCATTATATTTTAAAATTAATATTTTACATAACCACACCATACTTCAACGATCAATTATCGAATAAGTTAACTATTAGTTTTTTATGATCTGGCATGTCGCTAAAACCTAATTTTATCTTGTAATTGTCTATTTACAGTGAGAGATGTGCTATTTATATTGTCTATGAAAAATACATTTGCTTGCCAGTAATCTGTTAGGCCCGTTGTACAAGAATTTCAGTATTTATATCTGATGTAGTAACTTCGTTAACAAGCATATTACGTGGATTGAGCTCTGCGTACGCACATCGCCGCTCAGCACCGCGATGTAAGTATGCATCTAGACTATCCACGGAGCCTTGTTTGACTTTTATAACTTCTGGAGTATATGTTTTTCAGTTGGAAAGAAGACCCAAACGCGTTCCTCTGCCCTTACGAGGTCGGCGGCAGTTGCAGGGATACAGATTGCAAATTCCTTCACCCTAAAATCCCATCACATCAATGACACACGCCCTCAAATCCCACAAACTTTACCCGTCTATGCACTACTTACCTGAAATGTCAACTCCTTATGGTTCTGCCTCCTTCCCCTATTCTTATCTGCTGCGACAGCAATGGACTCAACAGCGACGTGTAAAGTATTTTCTGTAGATTTTTAACCTATGAAAGTTGCGTTGATGAAATAGTAGTGAAGTATTGCATGAATAATATCTTAATTAGAAGAAATATTTAAAAGTATTTTATCATATTTTGTTACTGCTTCATTTTTTAGTACGTCCGGAAAGGTTTGTCGTATTTGATATTATTCTTTTATAATGCGTGGTTTATTTTAACTTTTACCCAGGGTACCAAAGAATTTGAAGAAATGTTTAATTTTTTCCGTACACCAATAATACTTATTGACGAATTATTTCTAATTCTTTATTACAAATTGATGCGAATTAATTTGTTTCTCTTTAACAGTAATATATTCTATTGGTAGTAAATATTATTTGCTTCAATCTACATGTCGTTATTGATATGCAGTTTTGATAAGTTTATACCTGACTGTTCCAGAAAGAGGGTTATGTTTTCCGAGAGTATGTTTATATACATAGAATACTATAACACACACATAATATAACGGGGGTGTGGGCGGAGCCCGTGTAGCCACTAAAATGCCACTAACACGTCTATTCACACGTATAAATGTCAACACGAGATGTGTTTTGACGTTACAATCGTTTCCAAATTTCGCATGCAAATTATGATTAATATTTAGAAAATGCCAAATTGCACGCTATTTACAAATAAATATATATTAAAATCCGTCTGTCAACACAGCGAATCGGGTTTGTAGTAGTTATTATCTGATAATACGACGTAATTGCTTGTATGTGTGCTCCCGGCACGCCGAACCTCAGTACAAAATAAGGTTGACAGCCATTCTATTGTGTATTATAGTATTCTATGTTTATATATGTGTACGTTTAATTGAAATCTGTAAGTAACCTTTACGTTTTTTTAAAGTTTCAAACTTTACAGAGTTTTTAAGTGTGAGGTGTCATAAAGACTAATCTAAATTTCCGGATCATCACAAGCTACATTTAATGGTGATATATATACACAGCGGTCGTAAAAACAACATATGCTTGAAGTGCACAAGTTATTTTTTTATGTACAATTAGTGGCAAATAAATATTTGAGCTAGCCGATTCCATACTAGGAATAATAACACAGTAACATTAGATTTATTAATTCGTAATGTCGTCCGATTATATAACCAGTGTTTTATGAAGTAATATTTTTTTTTTACTTTTACATCCAATTCTAGTTGGTGATGTTCCTGTGAGAGCGAGACATCAGCGGCAGTGGTAAGTTGCGTGTAACTTATAAAATAGTGAATTAGTAGTGCCCTGAACACAGACTTGTTACACTTCTACTGGGACACCATCGTGATCGCTGCGGTAGTGGTAATAATTTACTAGTGCCGAAGCCTAGTTTAAGTCGGTTCCTTTATTTTAAATTATGCATTGTACATTTTGTAAAAAAGTTATAAATAAACAAGTTGTTGTAAATTCGATTTTTTATTTATTCACACCACAAAGTTTTAAATTAAACGTTAGAAATAAATTTAACAGATAGATATTTTATTCAGACAATTTAAAAGAAATTATAAATTAAATTCTTTTTTATTCACACAGATACGATTATTCAGACAAAAATACGTACATATGGACTTTTATACTCATAAAAATTCTATTTTAAAGATCTCACATTGGAATGACTAGACTATTAACAGGTAAACATTTATAAGAACAAATAACTGTGGGCATGTAGGGTTTTTTTTTTTAAATTTTATTAATCTACCAACCAGTTAACATTTATTGGGTATGATTGAATAAATTATTAAAATTAATTAATACTCTTATATAAAATTCTTTAAATTCATAAGATTAGTTTGGTGTTTCGAAGCTCAATCAATTATAATATAATTTATATTTTCAGTCAAGATATATTTTAATTGAAGAGCGTTATTTGATAACATATAGATTATAGGTATAATAGATGGATGTTTTATGTAACTGGCAACTACGATAATGTAAATGTAATTATATTAAGTGATGATAGGAATGGATAGAGCCCACAGTTAACACTGGACAACAAGATATTTAGAAGGCAGATATACTATTGCAATTTTCTCAAATAATCGATTTTATCTAAAAGACATTTAAAGATCTTGCCTTGAATATTATGTTGGTAATACACTTTCTGTTCAAATATGATCTTTTGCACATGAAAAATCGCACTAACGTGTCTTTATCGGTGAAGGACAGTACCAAATTATTCAGATTAAGTACTTAAGCTATCTGTTTTAGCAGATATAATATCTGTAAGTAATTATCGAAAATTTAGGTTACATATAGCTTTTGTGTTTGTATATTTTAATTTTTAATATAAAAAATATTTTTATCTGCCTCTGTATCTGTCAAAAATATTGAATCTATCGACATAAAATTTACTCCAGTTGCAAATAGTAACCACAATTAGTTTTTTCACGGTGTCTCAAATGGTTTCTAAACATGATTATTTTTTGACTCATCACGTGATAGAAGTCAAGGGATCAGTATTATAATATAAAACTACACAGTTACGCTTAGCCTAATATACTGGATGACTTTTTTTTACCGTCTGGAGAAAAATAGGGTGTAACATGTGAACGGAGTAGAAGCCTATGGCACTGATATTTTACAAAAAATAAAATCAAAAATTTTGAATTAAACGTTTGAATTTTTTTTAACAATTACTTTGCCCTTTGCCCTTGAGCCTGTGAACCTGCGAAGTGAGAAAGTCAAAGATGCCTACTATATTTATTGTTTTATTGCCGTTCGTAAAGTAGGGTGGATATGATTTGAATTTCGATAGATTTTAATTAATTAATTAATTTAATTCAAAATTTTTGTTTTTATTTTTTGTTAAATATCAGTGCTAAAATACTATGCTTCTACTCCGTTCACATGTTACACCCTATTTTTTCCAGACGGTAAAAAACGTCATCCGGTATATGTCTTACATATACGAAAGTACATGTGTATAATACCAATACACTGTATATTACGTACCGATATAATTATTATAATTTTCTAAAAAGAACAAACAAAATTAAAATATAAAAATGATTAAAATTAAATTACATTATCAAAATAATGACAAACGAGCTAACAATCCACCTAAAGTGGCTACACCTGCTATCAAATTCAAGACACATTGTAACCTCATAAGGGCTGAGATGAACGGCCTGTAAGTGTACTGTATATAGTCAAACTGTAACAGACCAGTGGGTGCACTTTTGCTTGGCTGCAGAATTAGGTAACGGAGGCAACAACACGGTCGGACTCTTAGGTAGGTATTCAGATTAGTTATTCAAATACAATCTCGAAAATTCATAATGTAAAAATTTATGTAACATAATATGATTTAGGCTCTATTGTGAAGTTTGAGTTTAACCTAGGTAACTGAATAGTAGGTAAGGTATCTGAATACCGACCTTAGAAAATAAGATTTTTTTACAATTTTATTACATACCTAATGTTTGGTTCAAGATTGCTTTTAGTCGCTTCTAAAAATATGTATTTTCTCATTTTTTATTCTGTCTGATATAATAGTAAAGACGTGTAGGTGTGTTTGCGCAAAAGATCATATTATGTTACGCGCTGAGCAGTCTATCTGAGCGTGTGCCACATGGCGACGGCCTTGCGCGTCTCGTGCGCCATCTGTGCCCAGTGGCGGCCCTCCGCCGCCGGCTCGGCTGCGCCCACGCAGCACCACCCCACCACCAGCCCGCTGCCGCCGCCCGTCACCACGCACACCTTGCACATACAATATACGTTACAGCCTACATACGTTCCATTGCTTGGCACAGTCTCCTTTCATTTCTGAGAGTTATGGAGCTCCTGTGCGTGTTGGTAGACTTCACATGTCGAAATATTTTATTCCTCAGACATGCAGGTTTCCTCACGATGTTTTCTGTTACCGCCGGACACATAGTAAATCAACACTTACAATTGAAATCAATAATTTCAGCGGTGTCGGCGGGGATCGAACCCGGTCTTGGGCAAACAAGGCATGCCATATCGTTTGGTGAGATAGGCCCGTTCTGTTTCCGTTGGGAATACCATACACACGGAAGAGGCCCATATCCAGCCGTGAACTTTTACGGGTCAATGAAGAAATAAAAAAGACCTAGTGAAATACTAATTTAAAAATAGAACATTCTACATAATAGAGCTACCAACTATAATGTACAACATGTAACAAAAACCCTGTGGTTCCCGTTAAGTGCGTTATCAGAATCAGTACCCAAGCGTATAGAAATATTAGTTTAAAATCACATTTAAAAAAATTTCTTTTAATGAAAAAAAAATAATTTCCAAATTGTATGTGGTTTTATTTCCTCTAATTCACTATTATCGGTAATGCGGGGTCTTTGACAATCCTCTTACTCCTCTGCCAATCTTGAAGATCTTATGGTCTCCAATGAAGTCCGCTCCAGCTATCTCGTATATGTCAAATGTAACATATCTAAGATTCAGAGTGACGATGGGAACCAGCAGCAAAGATTTGTTGTTTTGTTATAATTCATTCATACTATAATTCAATTAACACGTTTGAAATTTTTTTTATAGAAGAGGGGGTAAACGAGCTACAGAGCCTAAATAAAGCATTCGGGAAATCTCATTCACGGTACAACTCTGCATTTGATTAATGGAGGATAGATGTAATGTCAGGGCAGCAACCACTTACCATCATGTTTTCACCCTATTCTATAAAAAAAAAATGCAGCTCACCTGATGGTGACTACCGGTACCGCCGCCCTTGAACAACTACAACACCAGGGGAATTGCAGATGCTTTGCCGGTCTTTTAGAAAGGAGAAAGCTCTTGAACGTCCCTAAGTCGTATCGGTCCGGGGAAATCGCCATTGGTAAACGATTCCACAAAAAGGTTGTGCGAGGTAGAAAAAGTTTACTGCTGAATATAAGCCTCTATATTTTCCAATGTTGTCACGCTTGCACTGGCGGATTGGGAACCACAGTTTTAATTACATTTGTACAGACTGCTAAACCTGTACTTTAGATTTAATTTTAGTAAGTGAAGCACACAGTTTCCATTTATCCTAGTATATACACAGTAATCTATAATCCACCCTAAGAAATCCATCCAAGATACTCGAAAACGGTGGATAATCGGAACCCACTTATCCATTGTTGTTCCGCCTTTTTACCCCAAGTCCTACAGTTCAAAAGAAAATGTATTCATACTTTAATATGATTATTATTAATTAATTAATTAAGCTATTGCATAGCTTCCGACCGAATCCAGAAATTCCGTAACGAAAAAAAACCTCACGCTTCCCACTCCGACGGGCACGGAGGTGTGGCGTTGAAAGCCGTGCATCGTCTAACGTCGTTTCAGTTCGGCAACTTCCACTCGGCAGAGTTCGGCACGGTGTTTGTGTGCGTGCGACTAGACGTATGCGTGTACACTAGCTGCTAACTGAATGATGAAAATTCCTGAATAACCTACATGTATTGTAAGATATTAAAAATATTTTAAACAATATTAACTTCTCATTTATTCAATAAGAGAAAAAAATTGTTTTCTTATCGGTCACCACTCTCAAAAAGTGTAACTTGATTTAATATCAAAGACTTAACTGCATAAATAAAATAAATAAATAATTATAATTGCATAAGTTGATAAAAAATGCTATGCAATAGCTTTACCGCGGCAGTCACCGAGTGCCACACGTATTTTTTTTTAAATTAAACTTAAACAAAAATAAGTAATTTATAAATTCTGTAATATGTCCAGGAAATGACCTACAAACACTAATTTCATTATATAAAGAAGTACGTCTAGATTATAAATTCGTCTCTTTTAATGAACATTTGTAATCGCTTTCTAAATTTCTTTGTTACAACAGATGTTCGAGAAAAAAATGGGCATTTTTTGCAAGCAATCCAAAAACTACTAAATTTGGATGTTATAGTCGCGTGGCCGTAAGAGGCGACAAAGGGAAAATGACACATAAGATGGGCATCAGCATCTTCCTGATAACAAATGCAGCATCTTGCCAACCCACCTGCCAAGCGTGGCAATTATGGCGAAATCCATGAAAGCGGTGTTAAATAAAATATAGGTACCCCATGAGGGTACCAGCATCGATAATCCTAGATTCTAACCTTAACGCTGTACGCCACCATCTCGAGACTCGAAAGGATATCTGTTTTTGACGCCTCGGCCCGACTCAACGACCACGATCAAATGTTCCCATTCGCAGAGTTCGTGCTTCTTAGGGATTTCAACGCGGGTTTCTCGTACTATCGATCATGAGGGGAGATCGGTTGACGACTATGCCTTGGCATATGGTCTGACACAACTGGTCATTTCACCCACGCGGATTCCAGATATGGATGATCATGCTTTCCTGTTGGACCTTCCGCTGACCCTTTATCCTTACAGGTCTCCGTCTATGCCACTCTTGGCTCTTCGGATCACTGCTTAATCCGTAGGCTGTCGCCGTGTGTGGCACTATAAGTCAGCGGATTGGGATAGGAAGCGGGCTTTTTCATCTAGCGAGAAGCAAATCCGCCACCATAGGTAGAATGCATTACCTATGGCGACGGATTTGCTTCTCGCTGGATTATCCCAACATCGTTGCAGTCTGTAGCCGATGTGGTAATTTAGGAGATGGAAATATTCATCCCGTCATCTGTAGTGCCTATCGGCGGTAGATCTCAGCCTTGGTTTGGTTGCTCCTGCTGCTTTGTGCTGGCCCGGGCCGACACAAAGATGTGCGCTAGCGGACTCAAAATAATTTACATTTCTGCCTACAGGTCCTTCCAAAGAGTTATCGATAGGGTGAAGTCAGAGCACATTTAAAGAATTGGCGTAAAAGTAGTTCGCCTTCCTTCGGAAACTCGTACATTCTGTTCTCTCGTCAAGACAGCCCAAGGGGATTCTTGTTAGCCATAATTACCATTTCTGTGCAGGGAGGATAACTCGTTGACCCACGCCGTGAAGGAAAAATCCGATCTTTTAGGTTATTTATTTTGCGTCCAGCTCGACTTTCGACAACAGGGGGAATCAACCGGTTCCTACGTATTTTTTCCTTCTGTCGAGGTAGCTCAGCTGGTGAACTTGTCCTGACACACCGATTGGCGGAGGCAGTCGAGACCAAGTGGAAGGCCCTAGCGGTTAATTTGGACATAGCAAAGGCCTTCGATAGGATTTGGTACAAAACGCTTCTTTGAAAGCTTCCCTCTTTCCTTCTTCTTTGCCTTGAGCCTTCCGAGGAATTATGCAATTGAATAACCTGTTATCTTACAGGTTGTGTTCAACAAGGCTGCGTGTTATAGCCAACCGTATTCCTTTTGCATATCAATGAATATTGCATACTAATAACATTCATTGTTACGCCGGCGACAGCACTGGCGATGTCTTATACACCGGCGGTGCTAATACTTCTCAGGAACACGTCGTCGAGTACCGGAACAAACTTGTGTCTTACGTCGAGTCTTTCTAAATCTAGTTCATTTTAACTCCCAAAAGACAGGTTTGCGCGTTTACCGCAAAGACAAACCCCTTTGTCGTACCTTCTCAATTTCAGAGCACTCCCAACGTTACTTCAGCCAGCATCGGAATCCTTCACGTCGACATTTCGGGAGATACCGAGAGTACCGTCTTCAACGGAGAGCAGGCCGAAACGTCGATGACCAAGTTTTTTACGGTCGGCTTGATTTACTGGCTTTCGAAGATACGTTGCATTTCTATGCATCTTCTATCGCATAAACCACGCAGGGAGTGCTCAGAGAAATTGTTCGCATTAACTCCAGCTGCTGAATTCCACCATCTTACATTCAAACAGATTTTGAAATTCTATCCTCACGGTCTCGGTGGCTGACGGTTCACTACTGTACGATTTACACGGAATTTTTTGCCTCGTAGGACCATACTGTGGAATTTACTTCCCCACGCGCCCCTTTGTAACCTTGTGCCCCTGGCGCGTGCCTAGTTTGCCTTTAGGATAATCCGCCACTGAGGAAAGCCTATGCCTATGGTCTTTTGGTAAGTAACGGTAACGGCATGATATTTTGTATAAAATTTAGAATTTGGTAGTGAGTTTTTTTTTAAAGTTCTTTGAAAAGATTAAATAATAAAAACTTTAACTATAGTTTTTTTATTTAGCAAAAATTTCAGAGTGGTCCATGGTACACATCTAACTTGCATATGAAACATGTCAGATCAGTGCAGTCGGGTTGTTTAAATAATAATTTACTTGTTTACTCGCTTACCTCAATGGAAGCTTCTTGAAGGTTAGTAGAGGGCAGGCTGAAGGAGAGTGCTTCATTCCACACGGGGTTGTTTATCTCTTTCCTGTTTGTCTTCTTCTTTTTGACACGTTTTCCATTGACAAGAAGGTACACTTTTACATAAACATCTGGAACGAGTAAATTATACATTATTCATGAAACAGAGTTCTATTTGAGCTAAGCGCTCCCTAAATTTCGCAGTACGCGAGCAAACCAGGTTCGATCTCCGTCGGCACCAATGAAATTGTTAATTGTAGGAAAAAGATAGGAAAGATGGAAACATCATGACGAAACCTGCATGTCTAAGCTGTCACAATGTTTGTAGATGGACTTTACATATCCTCAAACGATTTTTTTATTTAGCAGCAAAATATGTTTTTTTCCCACAATGATTTTGCCGATGTCCTTTCTTTGGTCTATCACATCTTGTCTTAAGACTTCTCAACGGGAAAGGTTTTAAGTTATTGACAATAAATTACTGACTCTGAATAACAATAGGACGTTACCTGATATATTGCCGTCCTGCAGTACGAATATAAGGCATTTTAAATCAAAATAATTTTTGTTTGGCTATAAATTCTAATTTTAAATTAATTTTATTAAAAAAATAGATTTTTTTTAATTAGTCATTTGTTTATTGACAAGCGTTATGTTTTCATCGCATTTGAATATTTTTCGTCGGAAAACTAGTCGACAAGGACGAATTAAAGGCGAATGTGGATAAAGCGGATGATAATCATTTTTTTTATAGAAGAGGGGGCAAACGAGCATGCCGTTTACTTGATAATGGGTGATTACCTCCATCCATGAACAACTGCATCATCATCATTTATCAATACATCCCTTCACAAGTCCACTGCTGAACACAGGCCTCCCCAAGGAATGCCACAAAGCACGGTCCTAAGCCACCTGCATCCATCGATTTACTAGGATGTCACTCCATCTATTAGGGGGTCGCCCTACACTTCCTCTACCCGTACTAGGCTGCTATTCGAGAACCTTTTTTCACCTATCGGTTGTCGGTTCTTTGGCTACATGGCCAGATCTTTGCCACTTCAGCTTACGAATCCGTGTCAGTCACTCTGATTATATTGCAGGCTTATCACGCAGAGAAACCCCGGGGATAGCCCTCTTTATAGTTTGCTGAGTGATCTTGAGCTTTATCATACGGCCAGCAGTGAAGGACCACGTCTCAGATCCATAAGTCATCACTGGCAACACGCACTAGTTGTACAATCTCGTTTTCAGCCCAGCCGAGTTGAATTCGTCGATTGACCTCTCGGTCGAAGTTGGTATTACCTATTCGGGATATTTGCCAAGGTAAACATATCATCAACAACTTCGAGCTTAGTGCTCTCAACAAATACTGGCATTGGTGTGACATGGACGTTCATCTTAAGACCTATCCGTTGGGAGAAACTATTGAGGTCATTGAGCATAGTGCTTAGATCCTCTAGCGATTCTGCCATAAGGACTATATCGTCGGCGAATCAAAGATGAGTGATGTACTGATGTGATAGGTTTCGTACTCTGGTTCTGTACTCGGATAGCCATCGTAGCTTTTCTGTACATAAACTTCAGCACTCCGATATACCGACAGTAAAGTTGGCACCGTTGAAGAGACTGTGGGCCACCCAAATTTCGACGAAATCAAAGGTTTCCTTATAATCCACATACGCAAGGCAAAGTGGCAGATTGTACTATTCGGTCTTCTGAACAATTTGCCGAATGGTATATATGTGGTCTATAGTACTAAAGCCCTTTCGATCGGCTTGTTCGGGATGCTGGAAGTCGTCGTGCCTGCGTGCGAGACGATTCGTAATGACTTTTGAAAACAGCACGTAGCCGTGTCTCAGAAGGGAAATCGATGTAAAAATCTTTAAAAGAGAGTTGTAGCCTTTCTTGAAGAACAAGGTCACCGCACTTCTGCTCTACGCCGCCGGTGCAGTTCCGCCATGGAGGACGGAATTAAAGAGTTTTGAAGGACTTTAAGTACCGATTTTCCACCCGCTTTTAGAAACTCAGCTGTAATTTCTTCCTCGCATTGCCGTTGCCCTTGCCGTTTTAAGGTGCTGGAGAGCCATTTTAAACTCACTCAGAATGACGTGCGGGATATTATAGGAATGGTGTCATTTAAGTTCTCGTCTTTCCTCAGGGTGTGTGCGTTGCATGTTGCCAGGTCAAGTCATCTTAGTTGGCAATCGAAACTCCACCGGAGATTCTTAGCACCCCATGCCGCGTAGTGGCGGTAAAGAATATCCACTATCCAATATCTTCCTTTGGGTGTCGTAAGAGGCGACAGAGAGACATGGAAACAGGCAGGAGATGGGCAGCAGCATCGTCCTGATAACAGCAATTGTATAATAAAAAAACTGCGGTTGTCAACCCGCTCGATAAGCGTGGCAACTATGGCAAATATCCCCCAATGAGAGTTACGAAAGGACGGCCCCCAGTCCGCGGCGGCCCGGGTAAACAGAAGTAAACGATCCCACAGAGGAGACCTACGAAGTAGAAAACTTTTAGTAAAACATACAGTGGTGGACCGCCCGGCGTCCAGATGCTGAGGATGATATCGTGAGTTTTGTTGCAATGTGCGTTAGTGAAATTTGGCGGGTGGAATTAATCCTAATAATTCCTCAGAGAACTAGACGTGGTAGGTGCGGTAGAAAACACATATGGTTGCAACATCTCTTCGCAGCGCCAGTAAAACGAGAGTCGTTGACAATTTGAACTACTCTGCACTGGATACGGTCCAGTGAAAGGACCTGGCACTGGAAAGCCTCGACCCATAGATGGGAACATTACTCCATGTGTGGCTGAATTTGCGCCTTGTAAACATACAGGTGCCACGCCGGCATGAAATACTGTCCCGCTCTGCTGAGCACGCCAAGCTTTATAGACACCAATTCGCTATTCTCTTTCAAGTGATTCCGATGCTAGCTGATGCAGCAAAGGGGTTCTTTTTAGCGGAAAACGCGCAAACTTGTGTCTTCTGGGAAATGAACTGAACTAGATTTAGTCGCCTTCAATCCGATACTTTGTATAACAAAGAAACTTGTGAACCACCAGCGTTAATAGGCTTGAAATCAGAGTAGGCACCGTCTACTACGACCTTGATGCTCCGATCAGCAAGGAATCTGATGATCCAATTGCACAATTTCACGAGAACCTGATGGGAAGGGAGCTTCGAAAGAAGCGCTTTGTGCCAAACTCGATCGAAGGCCTTCGCTATGTCTAAACTAACGGTCTACCTGACTCATAGATCTCATCTATGAGTCAGGTAGACCATCACCCTCCGGAATATGGCAGCAGTTTTCGACGTTAGTACCAAAATAATATTAGTTCATTTGCGTCAAATGGGCAAGGTAAAAAAGCTTGACAAAAGGGTGCCCCACGAACTCGATGATCGCCAGCGCAAAGTAAGCGTCGAGACGTGTCTGTATCACTACTCAACAGACACACAAACGATGAAATGTTTAACCGCATTGTTACCTGCGATGAAAATGGATTCTGTTTGACAATCGCAAACGCTCAGCAAATTGATTGTATCCTGGTTCAGCAGATTGCCTCAAACGAAAGCATACCCCTAGTAAAGTGAAGGTTATTGTTTAATGATCTAGCGCCAGTGTAATTCATAGCAGCTTCTTACTAAACGGGATGAGCATTGCTGCAGATGTATACTGTAAAGAATTGAATACAATGTCGGAGAGGCTCGCACGTCTCCCACCAGCTTTGGATGATTATTCGTCCTTACGACTTCAACAGACGGTCTCCAAGTTACAATAGCTGGGGTTGGAAGTTCTTCGTCATCCGTCGTACTCATCAGACCGTGCGCCTACTGATTTCTACTTTTTCCAGAATTTGGATAACTTTTTGGCGGAGAAAAAATTCAATGCCTGAGAGGCAGTACAAATTGCCTTTGAAGAATTTCTTGCCGGGAGGCACGAAGAAGGCTTCTTGAACAAATCAGCTGACGGGAGTCCAGCTGATTTGTTGAAGAAGGGCATAGATAAACTGCTACTACGTTGGCAAAGATGTTATAAAAATTATTAAAAAAATTACGTTGACTTATAAAAAATGTCAACTTCATAGACGTAAAGACTTAATATAAAGTTATCTGTGTACTGACTCACTGACCTCTATTACAGCGTACTTGTATAATATATATGTCAGTGGTACTGACTGGAGTGTATATTAAAGTAAAAAGCGTTTATTCTTTATTTGGTATGTTAGATATATGTGTTTTACAGTATATTAATGTGCAGTTAGTGAAGCCGAAAGTGAAATACAAAACAAACCTAAAAATTTAATGAATTGCGATCACTGGGCAACTACTAGTATGTATATATTATTTTTTTAATACTGTTCGCGACGGCCTAACAACCTTAAGAAACAAAGTGATAAAGAATATTGTTTTATGTATTAATAGTGAAATTACCAAGAAAACTGAGTGAAAACGTGTATTAATATAGTTGTTGAGCATATTTATAAATCTCAATATATTTGTATAGAATGTCGTTTTGATAACAAGTAATGTAAACAACTTTTATTATATTAAGAAAAATCGACCAATCACAGCGCGTCTTATCGTGGAACTCTCTAGAAGTTTTTAATTAACTGCGTAATAGTTCATACTAAAAATAATGAAAATAATTTTATGTTCTAAAAGAGTTATAAATATGACATTTAATTAGCATATGGCTTATAGATTAAAGAAGTATAGGAATATTTTTTTATAATTAAACGCATTTCGTAGTTATAGAAAAATTAAAGAATTAAAATACCCAAATATTATGAAAATTTGGGACATTTCGTTTAATAACTTTTTACAATGTTAATGTTTTTAGTAACCTTTATGATATACTAATAAAGTACCAGACTACCGATTTAATGATGTATAGCATGTTAGTGTAGCAATTAGTTTGTATAGAGAATATTGCAATTTATGCCATTTGTATAGTGAAATGTTTATGCAATAAAGAGGCAAAACGGAAAATGGCAGCGGTTCACTGTAAAGTATTGCTAAAGTCTACCTTAGGGGCTCGGGACCCAGTACCCGTAGTAGTGTGAAGAACTACCAGTGACTAGTGAAGTGAAGTGAGTGGTATCCGGTGGTAGCTGAAGTGAC